TCATGTGTGTGCGATGGTGGGTGCAAATGGTGGCAGTGATCATGTGATTTGTGTGTGGGCGAGGGGATTTCAGGCCCGTGGAATGTAGAAGATGGACGAAGCCGCGGGCAGGAAGTGCTGACTAAGAAGAAAGGAAGGAGTACGATGTATATGTTTGAAATGGACTGTGTGTCTTTACATGTGAAAATGGGGAAATGCGAGAGATGGAAGGAGCCGTCGCGGTGAAGGTGAGGTGAGGTGAGTGGAGGTGAGTTCTGGGCCTGTTAAACCGGGGTAGGGACCATCATCCCAAACACGCACGCGCACACCCGCGCTGCGACAGGCAGCCTCCCTCTCTTCTTCCTTTCCCCGTGCAAGGAACTCACCTAGGGTCGGCATCTTAGCGACGCTGTGAATCGCACACTGCACATCGAAGGCGGCATGCGCGTCGTGCATGGCCGCCAGCAACGACACCGGCGACTGTACGACAGGCGTGGTGGCGGAGACGCCAGCCGTGACGTGCGGGTCCAACAATACGGCGGTGAGCACGGACACATCAGAGTGCACACGTGTGGCCCAGGGTGACCCATGGGTCAAGTCCGCAAACGCGGGCGGTGGCAGGATATACCGCAACACCGTTAGCGTGGCGTGCGCCGCTGCACGCTGCTGGTGCAGCCGCCTCAGCGTCACCTGCATATTATGTTTCGCCGAGGAAAACATCTTACCAAGAAAACATTAAAAAAAACACTGAAATGATGCTAGAAATATTGGAAAAAACGAAATGCGTCAGAAATCGACAGCACAAGGGGCTGGCGAATCCTGTTAACAAACAACCGACATGCCAAGCCTGTAACTGTTACTTCAAAGTAGACATTCTTCAATCTTCACACCTACACATGCACTCTCCAAACTTCTGCTCTTACGCCCATACCTGTGCTACTACCCTTGCTTCTAGATCCGCAGGATCGAAGGGCGCCTGTAACGTGTCAGCTGCCAAGGAGATGGACGGCACCCCTCGGAGATGCTCCGGAACCACCGCCGTCGCCTGCATGGCCGATGACGACGAAGATACGGATCGGCGGACGGAGCTGCGCGAAGCGGCGAAGCCGCCGTTGCGTACGACACGCAGAATGGGTAGCTCCGCGGCATTCGCACGCTTGCGGATCGCCGTGATCGCCTACTTAGCAGCAGGGGACGGGCCGGGGACGGGCGGCATTGCAACCGGACAGTGGAAAGACCCGGGGTGGGGTGGGGTGAAGAGAACAACGGCGAGGCTACGCTGGCGCAGAAGCGGGAAGTGAGTATACGATGCCATTGGCTTGCAAGTGAAACTGGAAAAGTCAATTAACCAGGGGTCCCGGAGTTCTCTGTGCGCCTGATGCCACGAGGGGCCTAATTTCACGACAAGGCGAATGGTTCTGGGGTTTTCGGGGCTACGAGGCGTCAAATCCGTTCGGGAGTTGACAACAATAACAAGGGTGACAAGGATACCTAGGGACATTGCGCCCCAGGCAGCCCGGTGAAGGGAACGACGACCGGTCGATGGGTGGGTGCGTGCGTGAGTGCTAACGGATCCCCAGAAACTTCGGAACGAGATCGCCGACGCGCTGCCGCCTTCCCACACTTGCTCATTCCTCCTGAACGGACTGGTTTCCCGGGGGGAGGACATCCACACTTGCTAACGTCGCTCGTGTTGAACGCCACGGCTGCAAAGACGGATCTTCGGGTTGCTAGGGCTGCTGCGCACCGGGGGGTTGGTGTCTAGCTCGTGGCTGAAGGGATTGGAACTTGTGATCGTGGTTGGTCCCCACCCCCACCCCCACGACTAGCCCCACATAACGGACCGAACTTTCAACCCTGTTATGGGGGTGAGGCATTGCTGCAGTGAGCGTGCTGCCAGACACGATCGCGAGACCAGGTGGATCAGGGGGTGTACTGGGGGGGGCCGCATGTGTGCCTGCCGGGCGGCACAGCACATGAGCTCAGAAGCTGACGCGGACACTGAGGGGCACCTGTCCGGAGGTCTGTTGTGTGGATTGCTTCTGTGCGCGCCCCAGCACCCCAGCACCCCCTCCTCCGCTGCGATCACCACCACGCGGGTCGATATGCAGGCCACCCACTGCTACTGGTGGTGGGACTGTGGTGCTGCTGCGGTGCCACTGCCTCGGTTATTGTCCGAGGCTGTTGCTGCGGCTGCCACTGCGTGGCCCTATGCTGCATTATGTGGAGTAAGTATTGCTATTGCGATTGCTACAGCTGCTGCTGATACTACTGCTGCTGATACTAATACTGCTACCACTGCCACGGCCACTGCTGCTACAGCAGTTGCGGTCTGCAGCTCTGTCGTTATGCGGCTGTGCGCTGTCCCTGGCGTGCGCTGGTCTCCCACAGTGCTTCCAAACGCTGCAGTGCGACCCGGGGAAGCACAGTGGAATCACAGGGTCGTATGTGCAACCCGGGCACAAAACACAGTGCCCCCGGAGTTTACCCGGCGTAGCAACCCGGGGGGAAGTGGCAGGTCGTGCCGCTGCCCTGCCCTGACTTGCCGGCGCCTATCTTCCAGCAATGCTGCCACACGGCCAACGTCCTCCACAGCCGGACCCTGCTGGACTGAAGCTGTACCGCCGATGAGCCCCTGCCTCCTACCCTCGTGCAAGCCTGTGTGCAGGAGTACCTTGACACGCACGTATGGTGGGTATGGCGTGTGAGCGCTTACTACCAACCCACCCGTGTCGCCGCTTCCGCGCCGCCTGCCAAGTCGTCCTCCTCAACGACCATGCAGTCGGGCAGGTACGGCAGCTCGTCCAGGAACTGCAAACAGCGCTCAAGCGATTCCAGAACCGCTACTTTGAAGCGGTCGTACGGAAGGACGTATGAGAGCCGGTACGCGGCGGCGGGGACGCTGCACAGCACCAGCAGCAGCACCGCGTTCCCCGCATCCGCCAGCTCCGAGAAAGGCACTTTGCGGGAGGCATGCGAGTCCAGGCAGGAGCGAATCGCCCCAAGAAGCTCCTGAAATTCCGCTCCTTCGGTCCACGGGGCCCCGGGGGCGTTTGCAGCGGGCCGGCCAAGCGACGTTGACGGCTCGCCCATCATCGAGGCAGGGCTTTTGGGCCCGTCCTTCGTTCCGCAGGCGCAGCGGCATGCACGAGTAAGATGGAGAGTAATTCATATGGAATAAAGGTCTTGCGGCGATAGCGGCAGCCGCGGTGGCACCCCTCGCCTAGCTGCTGACTACGAAAGGTCGCCGGTGTTTTTGCTTACCTTTCCCAATCGGTTCCATGTATTAGAGAAGAATACTACGCTCGCGACAGCCCAGCCGACCACAAGCTGTAGAAAGGTGCAAGTGACGAGCCGAATTTGGTTTAGAGGCACCATTCCCAGGCGGCAAAGACCGCGTTACTATGCGGATATCTTACAGCTAGAAGCTTGCCACCCAGCGCTTCGAGCGCCGTTGCGCTGCTTGGAGAGGTTGCCCACGCGAGAAGTGCGTCATACTGTGACAACGCAAGTGCTAACGCAACAAGGCCGATAATAATTAATGCAATCCCCGTTCCAGTTGCCAGGCCTTCCATATTTACTCACGTGCAAGGCTGTAAGCTAAGCCCCGAGACAACTAACAGCGCAAATAAACCCTGACTCATGGCATCACAATTCCACAGCACGAGCGTTAAGACCTGTACAATCTTCTTGATTTCTTGAGGTAAAGCAAAAAAACGCAAGAAGGTACGTATGCTGTCGTACGCAGTAGTCGGAGCTCCAGTCCATTCCTTGCGGGGTTACGAGGGACGACTGTTATCTGGTATTTTATTCGCTGAGACAGTCACCTGATGGCATGCTCCTTATGAGTCATTAGGTAATGCCGTTGGTCGCGGCCCCACACCTATATGTCCGTAGCTTTCCGTTGGCTGTCCACCGTGCAGTCTTTCCTGACGATGCTTCAAGCATACAAGCGTTCATGGCCAGCAAACCCACGCATCGTGCAGACGCGGGAACGCCCCTGCCAAGTGCTGTACATTACCATCACCCTAAAAGCCATCCAATACACATTATTTGTGAATTGTATGACACCGTTGGATGGATTTGCTGCCAAGATAGGGTGTTAGTAGATATATGGCGCAAATGCTGTCCGAGGATGCCCGGACGCTGGAGATCCGAGAAGCCCCTGTTACCCCTTGGCCGCTCCTTATCTCCAAGTGTTCCCCTGCGCCCTAGCAAATATCTTCACAATCTTACACACTTTCACGCGTGCTTCTTCGACCCCTCCTTTCCGTGCGCCCTTTTCTTCCAGCCTGCGGTACAATCCAACCTCCATCCCAACCTCCGTCTGTCTTGCCTTATCTGGCAGTTCGCTACGAACCCCGATTTCCAAGAGACTCCTTTATAGAGCACACACAAAGCCAAGCCACTATGGCTTTACCTTTGCTAAGGACAAGCCCATAGCCTACAACTCAGTATCTAGCCGAGCCGAGTGGCCAGCATTGCGCCTTGCTTCTGACCGGGGCAGTCAAAAGAATTGCTCTCCCCGACCGTGTGTCCTACCCTCTACTTCGCATTTCAATTCTTCCCTGATAAGCCTTTTATGCCCCTGCGTCCGCACAACCCGTCTCGAGCCGCCCCTCCACATTCATGCTCAGCCTTTCTCACCACGTTCTTAAAGCTCGAATTCGTCCCCGCCCTCCATCCGACCCAGCATGCTTCGCTTGCTAATACTACCTCCATGATGTTGGCCATGGCCAGCCGTGATTCCTTGCGCCCATACGAGTTCCCCATGAGCCCTGTTTTCCTTTTTCCCGACCACCCGCTGCTTTTAACTTTTCCATGTCTGGCTGTCTTACAATGTTGGGTGCCATGCTGGCCTCTTACGAGTCATCTGTGTTTGCGGTCTTGCGTGGGTCCCGTGCGGTTCTTCAACAGCGTCTTTGTTGGCAGAGAATCCTTGAAACCACCCTCCCTTGCAACAACACCGAGACCACCGAAACACCCCCACCGGCTCCTCGTTTTTTGTGTGAGTCGCTTTTCTTAGCGTGATGACACGGCTTACGTGATTGCCTGCAGCCCCTAGCTCCCCTTGGGTTGCCCTGGCAATCACTTTCGCTGTCCCATCTTCTAGGCTCCAAATGGTGCCCACTCCTGCTTCTTACCTTCCTACCTACCTACCTACCTATTTGCCTACCACCCACATGGTGAGCGTTCTCCATCCAAAACCCTCTCCTCCCCCTTCCTCATCCCTACTGCCCGAATAAGACGTTAATTACGTCTTCGGCACAAGACGTCCTGCTCCGCCTTCCCACCCTGCTATCCGCCTTCCTACCCTTTTCCCCATTCCCGGTGCCATCCTTCCCAGCGGGAGGGCGTTTTGTTACGTGGTGGTCTGGCCCAGCATGTACTTTCGAAGGTTAAACACGCCTCCCTGGCCCCCATTCGCATCGTGAAGTGCTCCCTGCACCGCCGCCAGCTGCCGTAACAACAGCTCCACCTGGCTCCGCTGCTGCGATAGAAGGGTCCCACGACCCGCCGCTGCCGCTGCCGACGATGCCGACGCCATCAGCGGCTGCTGCTCCGGAACACCTCGCAACTGCAACACTGCCCCTTCCGATCCGGATGTAGCCGCGCCGGCAGCGCCGGCGGCTCCGCCGACGCCAATGTCCGAAGCCACCACCAGTACGGCAGCGTTGACGGCGTCTGCGACGGCATCGCGCTGCGCCCTGTCGAGCAAGTGCGCCAAGGGCGAGGCCTCAGGATTCTGATAGGCTACCAGTGCCACGACGTCGCGAAGGGACGACTCCAGGGACGCTGCTGACGGGCCCCGCAGCTGAGCCAGAGTACTCTGTGCAAACATCACCGCCTCCTCCACACGACCGCACCTGCGGGGGCCCGGGGACAACCGCAGCAGCAGGATGGAGCCGTACGCATGGCGAGTTGGAGATGGAGGCAAACGGCGAAAAAGTGGAGAACAAAGCATCGCCATGTCCGTACGGAGCGGATGCTCGCAGTTCAGCTCAACTTACCATTCCTACGGGGTTTGGCTGCGGTTATCACCAATTGTCTTTCCATGCTGCAAGAACGGAAAACGGAGGTCCTGTCCAAAACCACTCTCCCACATCCACGCGCACCTGACTAGCTCGATGTATTTTTGGCATGCCAGCTGGAAGTGCACCACCCCGAAACGTACAGCATCCGCCAGCACCACCGGACACTGCGCCGTCAGCAGTGCCAGCGCCCCATCCACGTCACCTGCCATGAGGCAGCTGCGCAGGCGTGCACGCAGGCCCAGCGCTGTGCCGTCGTCTGCGGCGGCGGGTGAGCCATCATCGGCGGTTGCAGCGACCGCTGCAGCACTGCGGCCACGGATAAGCGGGTCCGACCCGGCACAATTAGGTGTCCGACACGCGTCGTCAGAAGGGGGAATCAGCACGCAAAATAGCACAAGGGAGAAATATAGAAAATGAGAACCCTGAAACACCCCCGACGTGGTGTTTGTCCGCAAAAGGGAACAAACCGGTGCGAAGGGATATCGACAGCGCATGGTAATTAAGCGCTACACGGTTGGCGTGCTCCCCAAGCCCAACCTCAGCCCGCCCAGCCCAAGCTATCTATAAAGCTGCCGCACTTGCTGTCGGCTGCTGCCGTCGCTGCCGCCACAGCCGCTGGCTGCTGCTGCTGCTCTTCCCCGAGGAGTCCGGCGGCCAGGTCGAAGGCGCGCAGCGTCTCCTCGTAGCCGTAGTGCAGCAGGTACTGTCGCACGAGCTTGTGGGTGATGCCGGGTGAGACAGGGATCCTGTTCGCACACACGACGTGAGATGACACCGTCAGGGTGAGCACACAGGATCAGGACATTATCTACTCGTGTGTGTGTGCGTGTGTGTGTGTGTGTGTGTGTGTCATAACCTCATCATGTCACCAAAACACATGAGTGGTTTAAAGCACTGTGGACACACGGCGAAAGGCTCCCGTACACCCGTACCAAATCTTCCTTTTTTCCCCCAAAACAGGTCGGTGCGATCGAAACGCACGGTACGCCATCGGCAATCAAGGACAAGAGTGCTAAGGACCAGGACCCGCCTGCGCGATGTCGACCATAACCTTACCTTTCCACTGCAGCCCGCTCCGCAGCCCTCTCTTCTGCCAACATGCCCTGCCAGGAGGCATCAATCACAAGACACGCGTCCGTGCAGCGCAGACGGAGAGAGGGAACGGAAGCAATTCTAGGTTTTCCAAGAAATCGCGGACCAAACGTAAGTAAATAAAAATTACATAATGTATAATAAACAAAACATGAAACATAAATGACATGGAACAACCGATAGATCTAGAGGCCTAACGAGAGCAACGGTGAAGGAGGAGGACGGTGGTCCCGAGCGCACCCGAATGCGGGCGCGAACGGGTAAGGTGCAGGCGACTGGGTGCGGAATGGTCGAGGGGATGTGGCGTGTGACCTGCTGAATCGTATCTTCGGCTGATGCCCTGGGGCCCCCTCATGCCTTGTACGGGCTGCCGTATGGGCTACCTTTGGAAGGTAACGCAGCTCTGTAAGATGTAACATAAGCACACGCACACATACATACATTTATACATACATACATACAATATATAGAATGGTTGTCTGATATGGCGCCATTTGGTCACGAATACTTAGCCATGGCGCGACAAGCGCCGATTAAAATACCAAGTAGCATAGGTTGCCAGAACATTGGGAGCAGCAGCTCTCCCTTGCTGTAAAACGGCAGAGCGTTCAGAATTTTGAGGAAGTTTGGACTGCAGCTACCGTATCCTGATTAGGACACAGATCCGAGCACGGGACATGCCGTGCAGAAGTCGCTTTAGCTTCCGCGCCAATGGGACGCGTTCTACTGGACAGGGGGACAGGAGGACCGAAAGCTCATCTGCAAGTTCACTCGTAACCTGGAGACTATCTGCATTGAGGCAGTTCGGTGTACGACGAATAAATAAGTTGACATTAAACAATGTTCACAGCCATCATTGTTGTTGTTTGTGCTCTATGCGCTTGAGCCGCCGCATATATCTGTGGGAAGCTAGCCAACATGACCAGCCATTCCGCGTCGTGGCAGTGCACCGCAGGCACGAATGCAATCCAACCCCTCCCCTTTCCCTCGCACCCGTCCATACATGGCGCACACAGCACGGACAGCTTCAACCCCACCACCCGCGCCATGCCCCAGTACCCAAACAATCCGTGAGACCTCCATCCCACCTCCCACCGCCCTCCTGACTGGTACAGCACTTCCAGCACAACTTCCACTTTAATAACTTCCACTTCCAAAAAGGCGCGAACCCATCCGCCCCGTCTGTCGCACCCGGCATTTGCCGCGACGGCGATAACCCGCCAACTCACCTCCACGTCAAACATGAAAGGCTTCTGGCCGAAGTTCACCTGGACCATCTCGCCCGTACTGCAGCAGCCATCCAACCATCCATTCGTACATCCATTCATGTAAACCAGTTTCGGGACGACAACACAACATTACGAAAGTGTGCAGCATGTGCAACACAAAACCAAGCGGGATGGGATATAGCGTCAGCGAATCACGGCGGTCGGAACATGCAAGAATGCGAGAAAACAACACATAGTGGATAACGCATGGAAACGGACGGCTTCGGGGCCAGGGATGCCACGAGTATGGCGAGGGGATGTGTAAACTGTGGAAGCCAGACAGCTGTGGGCTGTGCGGGCCCAAGCACAATTAAAGAAGGCACGGCGTGCACCATGAGCACCACCTCTCTCCCCCGGCCTCTGCCGTGTCCAATCGGCAACCTTATCTCCGTGACGGATGACGCCATCCTTCCCGCCCGGCGCCCGCCCCCAAAGAAGAACTGATTATCCTCTTTTGTGCTGAAGGCCTCTTGACCCTGCCTCTTTCCTTACCTGTGCAGGCCAATGGTCGGGTAGAGGCCCGCCCGCACGGGTCTGTGCGCAACATTGAGCTTAGTGCCATTCTTACTGAGGGGGCGTAAGGGGTCGAAAGGCGGAGGATTATACATATACACGCCGTTGTCATTTGCAACAAGGAATTTGAAAAGGTCAACTGATGACGAAGACGGCTGGGCGGCGCAAGACATGAACCACGGGGCGCCCACACAAACGTTGACTGGATTGGGAGCTGCTGCGGCCCAGCGATAATCAGGAGATATGTATCATGGAGCCAGGCAGCTAATGGAGCTAGCTTCTGGATTATCCCCCAGCGGCGCCGTTTGTCTCACGTGAAGAACAACTCCTGACGGCCCAGATGGATGCCAGCGCCTACGGTGTCGCCGGTTCCGAAGGTTGGGCCTGTGGGCCCGGTACGGCGCCGGGGGAGGCAGCGCAGCGCAGAACAGCCCCACGTAAGGTGTGTGGCTGAACAAGGGACGGAGGCTGTTTGATATGTTGGGAGTTCTTGCACAGGTACCCCTCTTGCATGACCTTGGCTTAGGGAACATTTCCTGCCATGTGCGGCATACGGGTTCACATCGTCGTTACGTCTGCAAGCGTGAACCCTTTCGGCTTGTGGACCCCTTAGGTTCGGCAGTAGTTGTTGCTACAGCACGCCAGGCAAGTGCTTTTTGAAGGCGACCGCCGCCAGAGAGAGCAGGTCGTCTGCTGGTGGCTTGGGTGGTAGGGAGCAAAACCACAAGCGTGCCCATGAAACGCAGCCCAGGCATATGCTGGGAGGATTTTGCGTGCTTGTATTGATACAAGGTCATACATACGGAGCCCCATGCAGCATTCCTTCGTTCGTCTGAACCATAAGTACGGATCTTCGCCTACCGTAGTCTTCGCCCATGCCCGTCTCAATAAATTTCCTGCCGTCGTCGCCATGGTAGCCATACGAATTGCTTTCCCACCTGCATCGGCCGGCCAAGTTGCAGTTGTGTCCCGCCCAGGAGGCAACTAGGGTTCTATGACTCGTGAGTGAAACGGATGCTGCCGCGTACCCTGGCTGGCGAGTCAACTTGAACGACTTGTCAGAAAAACCTATCGCAATTTTGGCATGGAGGCCCTGGTCTAACACGGTGAGTTCGTAGTAATATACAGTGCAATTTGAAGGAACAGGGTGATTAGCTTGGATGGCTCCCTGTGGCAAACGTGAAGAGGATTTCCTGTGAGCTCCCCGATAGACTCTGTCCAGTTCGTTTCTCCTTTGCAAGAGAGAAATCTTACTACGTCATTGTGGTGCAGCGCATCACGTGTGTAGCGCACTGTAAACTTGTCCTTCAACTCTAGTCCATAGCCCTGGCGGGCAGGATTAAGCTCACTAGGCCATGGTTGTTGGGTTCGCTGCTCCATGGCTGGGAAGCTCCTGAATTGAAGTATGGTGCGAATGAATCTACCTACAGTAAGAGGTCGCGAGGTAAGTACTTTACAACATTGAAACTCTGTTAACGAAAGCACGCAGAGTAGCACCTGTCGCTCCGGAACCGTTACGCGGCTTTGTTTCCACACTACGCTTCCTGCCGACGCAACAATAATCACAATATATAATTCTCGTGCGTAAAGATTGGGTGTTTTTGATTCGATACCGAACGACCGAAGACCATGGCTCCCAGTGGAGAAGTGCACCTTGACCTCGCGCTTTCGGCGCTGACAAGCATGGGCGGTGTTATGGGCTATGTACGGAAAAAGTCTTTGCCTTCGGTAGGTACCTAACTTCCCAGGGAAGGGAAGACCGTGCACTTCACTCGGCGACGTTTGTGCGCGCAGCTGATCGGCGGTCTTACTTTCAGCGTGGCATACGGTACAGCCGCATACATTATACAGGTATGCGCGGGCCGTGCATTGAGCGGTGAGGGCACGTTTGTGCTCCGTACAGCGAGGATATGGCGACTATGGGGGTGTGACAATTCATTACGCGCAAGGCAGGTCCGGCAGGGACCCCTAGTAAGGCCGCATCATGCTGGTCACATCGGCGTAGGGACAACCTTCCTGCATGTGCTGTGGTGACATCTGCTTGCCCAGGGGAATTGTGTCTTGTCACGTTCCGATGCCGTAATTGGGTCCTTGCTACGGATCAATGGATTCTGTAATGCGAACCTGTGGGGGGAAATGGAAGCCTGGACGCTGCGTGCACAGGCACGCAATTCCAGGTCTGCGTGCAGAATCAGCGGTCTTCGGAAGGTCGCAAAAGGTGGTAAGCTAGCCACTCTGCAGTGGGAGTTCATACGTGGAAGAGGCAAAGGCTAAACCAGGATTTTACGGCGTCCTGCTGTACCCTCTAGCTGCTGCGTTCCCAGGCCCTTCTCGTCTCGACAAGCTTATGCCCGACTGCGCTAACCCGCGTCCCGGTTTCCATGACCCTGCCGTACAGTCGAAAGACGCCTTCTTGGGCCACAGCGTCGGCTGCGCCACTTCAGCTTTGATGACAACCATAATGGGTATGCGACTTGCTAAGACCAAAAAGGTCATGCCGGCTGGAATTCTGACGGGTGTAGGTTTGCTAGGCTTTGTGTATCACGCCCAGAAAGCCCGCCAGTGGGCATAGGTTTGGTCAGGTTTGATAGGCGTTGCATACCACGCCCAGAAACCCGCCAGTGGACATAACCCAAGTGCGCAAACCTTTATTATCCTGCCGTATTGCTAATTTCGGTCGCCCTTATAAAGGTTCTTGGCTCCTGTTGATAAGTGATGCCTGGGCCTGGCAGTGCCGTGCGTGCTCAGCTAAACGGCAGCTTTGCTACTGCTTGGCACACCGACAAGGTTTTTGCATGAAGCTTGGGATTAAGATTGGGTGTGCCCACGGCGTTGCAAGGGCGGCAAAGATGGCAGGTGTCCGCAACGGCCTCATTTCTTTGTCTTTCCGAATTCTAGGTGGTAATCCAGGCTAGATGCAGACCAGTCATTATTCTGTATGACAATTTATGTGAAGGAGTGGTGCATAACGGGGGTGTGCGCCAAGGTCCAGACGACTTGTTTTGTTTTTTCCTGTTGAAGAGAGCGCTCCTGGGTTGATAAGCAAACATCCGATATTATGGTGTCAGATGTCTGTAAAAATGTTGTGTCAATCGAGAAGGTGGATGCGGAGAATCATTATTTCGGTGACCTGGTGCAACGGCCCCGTACTGCAATGATTAACCCGTTAAGTTGCGTATAACTTGTTTTAAACCCTTGCGTTATGTCAATCCGTCAGAGCCTTGGAAACATTAGCGCGCCAATTGGGCATACCTTTTGCATTCTTTGCAAGTCTTACACCGATCGACCTGCCGGCGCGCTCGCTTTCCTCCTTTGAGGTTCTCTGCAAATTGAATTGAAAGATGTCCTTCTACAGGTGTGAAACAGTACCGCAGCTCTTTGATTTGTCAACATATGTAACGGGCCGCAAAAGCGTTTCAGCGTCGGCGCACCTGAGACAACGCGCGACGGCGATTCTCAAGCTACCACTTTTGGATCTTGTGTTGCAGGGGCACCGCTTCCCACCCATGGCACGACCTTCACCCAGGGAACGAGGCTCCCAACGTTGTGAACTGTGTGATTGAAATCCCTCGCGGCTCGAAGGTCAAGTACGAGCTCGACAAGGACACCGGTCTGTGCTTTGTGGACCGTATCCTTTACTCTTCTGTCGTCTATCCCCATAACTACGGCTTCGTGCCAAAGACTCTCTGTGAGGATGGCGACCCGCTGGACGTGCTTGTCCTGATGCAGGAGCCCGTTGTGCCAATGTGCTTTTTGCGGGTGAGGAATATTGCGTTCCTTGTAATTTTCATTGGGTGGCTTATTCTCTCCCTTTAACGGACGGCTAAGATGTGCTGGAGCTGTGTTGCCCTACCCACCAGCCGTTTTGCACATCCTGCTGACTCCCGGCTGCTGCACGTGCTCACAGGCAAAGCCAATAGGTGTCATGCAAATGCTCGATCAAGGCGAGCGGGACGACAAGCTCATTGCTGTGCATGCGGACGACCCCGAGTTTAAGGGTTTCACAGACATCAACCAATTGCCACCGCACCGCCTTGCGGAGATCAAGCGGTGAGAGCGGGAAGACGGGTCTTAAACCCCAGACATGCATCCGGCATTATTTGGTAAATCACCTGGGCCCTATGCGCATTGTCGGGATCCACCGCAGAGTTATACACGGCTTGGGTTGGTAACATGATTCCGCTGTTTGGTGTAGGTTCTTCGAGGACTACAAGAAGAATGAGCACAAGGAGGTCATTGTCGACGATTTCCTCGGGTCAGAGGAGGCGAAGAAGGTCGTCAAGGACTCACTGGTATGTGCGTTGCGCATGTCCGCGCGTGTTGCTTGCCTACATGGCGCCTGACTGAATGTTTGGCGCTTATTGTGGTTCTCCTTAAATGCAGAACCTGTACCAAGAGCACTACGTGCCACGGAAGCTCCGGAACCTGTACGAGTAAAGTCAACCGCTGTGCAGCAGGAGCGTGAGAGCTGAGTGAGCCACACGGTGTAATTATTCCTTGGCTTTTTCGGACGTGCGGCGTTGTGCCAGCGCAGGCAGCTCTGGTATATCCCGACGTGGACTATGGGCCTTATTACTAAGGGGGTATTGGGGTTTTCATGGACGGACGGGTTAGTGCGGGTACGCTATGCATCTGCATAACGACATTACGACGGCGTAATGATGACAGCGTGTTCCCAGAAGTCAGCGGCTACACTTGACAGGCTTGCACACGGGTATTATGTGTTTGTCGACGAGACTAGGGGCGACAAGGGCTTTGTCCCCGAACTGCAGCGTTGACGGTGACGTTATCAGCTGCAAATTTGCTGCTAATGCATATTGTGTTCGCGGCGAGAAATCATCGAAATATAACACAGCTGAAGTACGACACGTAATCTCAACTGCTGCAATACCAGGAATAAAATGTAACTATGATACGTGGATTGACTGGTGGTATTTTATGGGTTGTGTCGCCTACGTAGTGACTCTTCGGATTCAGCGCCCAAGCCGGGAATGCAGAAAAAAGCAACTGCTACTATCTGAATTGTATTGGGCCAGTTGAGCTTGCAACAGAGGACTTTCGGAGAACCGGTCTGTTATCCCTTCGAGCCAGGCCGGGCCATGGCCACTCGGCAAGGTTATTTTGTGAAATGCTATTCCATGAGCATGTAAGGATACCCCTCAATTTCTCAGGTATAATTCACAAAGAGGTCGATAACGTGTCCTGACGGTTGCAATCGTTACAGCGGCATGAACGGGGAAGCCACAAACGCGGCACTTAGGTTAAGTTATACTGATATCATCGTTTAGTTTTTGCATTACACATGGAAAACAGCCCTTACAAGAATTGAAGATCTAAAGGTTTTGATGCCTTTTTACACGCTCAAAGTACGGCTTGTCGTTCCCGTTAGGCTTCTCCCGGTGGCCCTCCAACTCAACCTTAGATGTTTTTGTGGAACCTTTTACCGAAAGATTTGCGACGTATCCTGACAAGAGGTAGAGTGCACGTACACTGGTTCAAGCTTTCTAATGCTGGAATGTCTGGACTCTGGATCGATCCATTCTAATAGGAACCCTAAATAACAGCTCCACCTTTCTGACGAAAGCACCTTTCCGGGGAAGGTGTGCCATAGGCTGAGGCCATGGAGGACTCTTCACGCGCTTGGGCGGTGAGCGGGGTTGCATCAGCATGAACCATGCATAAACATGTTTCATCTACTTCATGTTTATGCTCGAAACCTCCTGACTTGGATCGCGTGGAAAGGGCACCTCGGGACTTCCTCGGGACTTCCTTGCCATATGGGCTTAACTTGCTGCACTGCCCCCCAGCTTTTAGATGTGTTGATAGCGATAGTGGTTGGCTGTTTCATAAGCACAGGTTGTTTCTTACTGCGGCATGTTGTCAACATGTGGTTCGAAGGACATACGCATGCTTTGCATGTGACATGATGTGAAATTCTATTGCCATAAAAGTATATTTGAGGGAGCCGCGGCATTCCATGTGCCTTCTGGTTGCCTGAATTTCCGCTTCCCCGCGCTTTGCTTTACCGACATCAGTCTGCGAGCTTGCCTCCGGCGAATCGCGTTGCATCGCCGCGGACAGCAAATGGAAACGGTTATCAGCCCGTTGTGACAGAAGCCTGGGCGGAACCGCCACCGAATTCGTCGCACTTTTTGCCCGACATCCGTGAGCATCCATCTCGTCAAAGCCAGCAACGCGTTCCACTATATCCGCTCCCCCCCGAAGTACCATCAGCTGAGGCTTTGCGAGGAGAAGCACGCATACGAGGATTGAAGAATGAGCTGGTTACAGCAAAAAACCGATTTGACCAAGAACTGCAGGCAAGGATGGGCGTGTCTTGGAGCAACCTAGGTATCAAGGGGACACGAGGGGTGATGTTGCAGACGGGAAGGCCATGGGTTAAGGCACTACTTTTGCGGGCGTCCTACGGCTAGTACCCTTCTTGGCATTGTTTTGTACCCCGAGGGATTTCTATCCCTTTCCTGCAAGGAATGCTTTGTTGATGGCGAAAGCGCCTGCACCATCCTGCCTATCGCCCAGCTGGCACGCTCGTAATAATCCGGAATGTCCGGCGCGTTTATCGCTACGTACACCTAGCTCCCGCCTGTTGTGCATCCGCAGGCCAAGGAGTCTGAGAACCAAAAGCTCAGGGAATACATTGAGCAGCAACGCGAGCTCCTGAGCTCCCAGAAGGTCACGATCCGCGAGCTGGAGCGCAACGTAGCGGAGCTCACACGTTCTGCCGCACAGCAGGTAGGCTTACTGGCATTGAAAGATTGAAGGAATGGCCAACGGCTTTCATAGATTGCCCTTGTTTCTGATGTGGGTTGGGTACTGCCGGTAACAGCAGACTACTGGGCATGTGTTACCGTGTATGGGCTTCATTGGGTTCTGCGCTTACGTTGCTAGGTTGGGTGTGAAACTCCTAAAGGCTTTTAGAACCACACCAACCCTAGTTTCCGAGTCCATGTGTGGGAGGTGCTCCCGGTCCTGGCGATGTGTCTGCCTGTCCACGCGCCAGGGGATGTGATTAGACGCTGTGTTGCGTGTGCACTGACGGCCATGGCCATCTGCCATTTTCGCTGTGTCCCTCCCAGCGCGCGACCTATGAGAGGTATTCTGTCAAGGCGGAGGCGAAGGTCCGGGCGCTGCAGGTGTGAATTGGCGCTTGTACAGTCCGGTTGTATAACTCGGGCGCTTAGGGTTTGTAGACAGCTCATCCTACACTATGGCGTCCTGTCGTGCCGAACACACGCGGTGCCATTTACGTCCGTTGTCAAAGCTCTCCCTCCCGAGTATGGCCCCAGCTCTTCCCTTGCTTCCCACATTCCCTGACGGTTATACCCCAGCATAGTGCAGCCTGCCAGAGCTATGACAATGTTCACGCCCCACTTTGGATGTTGGGGGGGAATGTAGCAACCCAGGCGCAACGAACCATAACTTCATGCCGATTTGATTTTTGTTGTCTGGCCAATCTCATGCTCCGAAGTTGAGCATGAGCATCTGAGTGCTGCTTGGTGCATGGCTGTGTGCTGGTTATGCTGCGCAGGGCCGACTCCGTGAGCTGGAGCAGGAGCATGCAGCTGCCATGGGCGGCATGGCGGCCCAGTTGGAGCGCGCCCGGAAGGAACGCACTGCAATGGCACTGGGTTTGTCTGCGGTGGCCCTTCAGGCGGTAAGGGCAGGGACGAGTGAGACAGAGGAGAGATACACTGCGGACCCAGATGGAGTGTGCAAATGGCAACAGCATCGCTGGGTCCTGATGCTCTTATTTTTACTGCTGCGCGGGGCTGGATCAGCTTGTTGCAGCCCCCTTAAGAAGCATGTCAGTGCGTGGAGATGTTTGCGGCCTTCAGAATCGCGTCGCGTCAAAGGCCCTTTTGCGAGTGTGAATGAAGGGCTGATGCATGCGGTGTTTGGGCTCTGACTCGCAGTGCGGCGGCGACAGCGCCCATCCCGAGGATACACACATGGACTCGGAGCGCGCGGCGGCGGAGGGCTACGAGGCGCTGCCGCGCACCGCGGCGGCGTGGGTTGGGATGCGTTACGAGGTGAGGGCACGGGTCCGCGTCCTTATGATTGCGATGCACAACAGGACGCGCGAATGGAATGTTTGCATGGCGGTAATGCGCGCAAAGCAGACAGCCGACGTATGCCATTATTGGCAGTAACAAAGCACGCGCAAATGTATACAAGTTGATTTGGGCCAGCAATCTTGGGGCTTGCGCTTTCGGATTAGCTGGGCAGCCGCGCAAGCCGTGTAAATGACCAAAGCGTCGCCGGCGGAAGGCCGAGCGGCGACGGTTGTCGTCCTCATCCCTTCTGTAGGTAGGTCACTAGGGCTAGACCAGCGCCGATGTGTACTTGTCGGCGATGCCCGCTGGGCGCTTCGCGCACAGCGCCACAGAGCTCGATTGCCCGGAGCTTCCTCTCAACCCTGACGCTTTCCCGCCGCTTCGCGTCACCCGCAAACCAACAGTTGGATGATGATGGAAACCTGGCGAGCTTCAGCCGTACGCCAGGCACCGTCAATCGGCCCTTCGACCGCGACGGGGCGAGGGCTGTTGCAGCGCTGGTGGCCCAAACGCGGCGCATGTATGAGCAGCGCGCAACGTATCGTGCTAAACTGCGCAGCACCGGTCAGCACGTTGAGCATATGCAGGTGGGTGGATTGGCAGATGTAGAACATGGCGTGCACATCACATATGAGCCGTTCTGGTGAAGGGACTGTGGGAAGGCAGCCCCCCAGCTGTACCAATGTTGATCTACACGTAAACACAATGCCTAAATGATGGTATGATATGGTACGCTATGGTGATATGCATCGTGGTTTGCGGAGAGCGGGACAGATTGAGGCACGATTGGGGCATGGTTACGGCCAGTGACTGGCGAGCACACCATAGTCCAGCCAGCATTAACTCGTTTCCTCCGGCATACGGGCCTGGCCCGGGTCTTGTACGTGGTTTGCCTGTGTGTGTGGGAACCCTTTCCTTCTGTTCATTTCTTTGAGTGCATTTTTCCCCAATACGCCCTTTCCCGCCCTCGCTCTTGCATCTTCCGCAGGCGGTATTGGACAACGTTGAGGCCGACTTCAACCTTGTTAACTCGATGATTGACCAGATGAATTCAGAGGCAGCCCGTCTGACCGCCGAGTACGGGCTGCCGCCCCTGCTGCCCACAGATGTGCCGCCACCGGACGCAGCGGCACGCCTGAGCGAGCGCATGGAAGGCGTGCGGATGCTGCTGCAGCGCATGAGCGAGGAACTGCTGGTGTCGGACGCTGAGAAGAAGTGAGTAGCGAGCGGCGGGTATTGGGTTGGGCTGCATAAGTATGTCGCCCGGAAGGAGCCCTGTAGCCGAGGAAACCACAAGAGAGAGAGAGAGAGAGAGAGCGATGCAGGGACTGAGGGGTGGTAGCGTGTATATGGAATGCGCAGGTTCGTTCAGGCTAAGCTGGCGGATTGCGTTTCTGGCTCTACCTTTGTCCCCGAAATGTCCCTGCTGAGGCAGCTATGCCTCCATGGGCGACATTTATATCCTGGGGCTGGCATTCATGTCGCGTGTCCTCCTCCTCCTCTTCCACTCTCGTCCACTCCCTCAGGGCGCTCACTGCTCAGGTCCTAAGCGGCCAGTTCCTGCAGGACATGAACAACGCCTCCCTCGAGCAATCTGTGGACCGGCAGGTAAGAGCTACGCGGGGTGGCGCTAAGTCGCAGCCCAGGACGGGGTTCCCAGGATGGAGCACGTGTGCATGTCTGCCTTTAAGCTATGCTGCAACAGTGCCGCTGTGGTAGCTGCCGCAGCATGTTTTCCTGGGCGGAATTTTCCCGTTGTCCTATTTAACATGCTGAATGCATTTGCGCGATGCAGTCGATCATCGAGGCGTATGCGGAGAAGCTCAAGCAGCTATACGGCGCCGGTCGCCGGGCACCTGTTTCTAATGGCGTTAACGGCCGTCGCTCCCCAGGTCACGGCCGTCGGTCAGGTGAGGCCCATGGGTCGTTTTCATCAACGGCGTGGGGTCATGGATCTAACATGTCTCGTGTGATTTTCGCAGCTCCGCCAGGTCAGCGAGTACGCAGACGCTGTTGGATCAACTGGGTATCCTTGCTGCTTCATGTGCTTGCATGCGTTTGCATCGCACATCTATTCGTTGCTGAACTCGCCTTGGGCTTGGGGCCATGCTCCAAGCCTTGGGAATGCTGCTTCTGAGTCTTTAAAATACCTCCTTAACACGATGCAGTTAAAAGGAATGTAAAATTTCTGCCACTGCACTTGCGACTTGCCAGTCGGTGCTGCCTAACTTGTCTTTCTCCTTTGTAATGCGTTCCTGCGGTGCAGCTGCCTTATCGTCGCCACCGCCGCCAGCGCGGGGGGAGCGCCCTGCCGTACCGCCTGCCGCGCCGCCGCCGTCCGACAAACGGCCCACACACCCATTGTCACCAAAATCCAAGGTGAGGCGCATGGTAGAGGCACTGCGCGCCGGCAGACATGCGCAAACCAAGGCAGCTGCTTTCTCTATAACCTTTCGTGGCAACAAGCGTACGCTATGCAGCGTTGTCGCGCTCTGACGATTTTGTCTTCCTGGCGCGCTGCGTGATTGCCATGTTCCTGTTCGCACAGACCTCAGCAAGTCGACCGGCCCACCAGCCGCATCCCCCACCGCCACCAGTCGATCTGGAGGAGCGGCGGGGTGCCGAGAAGGCCACACGGGCCAACGCACTTTCTGAGCATGTAAGTCGGGAAAGCGCCAACGCGCTTAGTCTACAGTTGGCGAGTCTCCCGGTTACGGGTCGTGCGACCGTGGCTGTCTCGGTGGCTTGATGATTTGCGGATGCTGAGGATTTCACGCCCTCCCAGTCACATGCTTCTGACCCATGCTAAGTCGGCTTTATTAGCTTGCGAGCTTCCGTTGGGCTTTCCTGCGCTGCAACCCGTATTGTGCGCGTGGGCCGGTGACCCTTTGATTTCTTGCCGATAGACATTGTCCCGTAACCTAAGCACCCTCCTGGTCAGCTTGGAGCATGGCATGCTCCCGTGCAACCTTTGATCCACACAATTCTCAGCGCTCGTACGAAAGCGGTTCCATAAGAAAGCAAATTCGGACGGGGCTTAGTCACGGGCATTTGTTTTTCTTTTCATTGCAAGGCCTGCTCATTAAAGTCTGCCCGCCGGGATGCGCTCCTTGTTCAACCATCGTTGCAGTTCTCTGAGGTCCTTCACAGTGGCACGAAGCCGGCTGCACGTGCTCGACGGTCAAAGCCGACCACCGACAGCACGCGGGCGTCGTCAGAGAAGGTGCGCGACGCCGAGCTGCTTTGCGCTGACGTGCGCTGGAGCTGCAACGGCACAGACACCCCGTGCATTTTTTGTCGAATTGCACGCACTTCATGGCATGGCGTGCACATTGTGCGGGTGTTTAGAGGTAACCCACATGGAGGTGCAGAACGAAGCTAGATGGTACCAGACCGCTGTGCTATATCCTGGTTTGGGCTCCTGTCCATTCCCGTGCTCAGGTCACGTGCTCACGGACGTTCCTGCCTGACTGTCAATGTGCGCAGGAGGCACCGGCTAAGAGCCTAGCGAAGGAGAGCTCTGCTGAGGCGGCGCGTGCCGCACCGCTGGAGGTGGAGGTCGGGTACAGCCGCCCAGCGGAGCCCGTCAAGAAGGCGAGCTCGGACAAGGCAAAGTCCCGGCATGGGTCACAGCGTAAACAGGAGCCAGAGCCAGAGCGCGAACCAGAACCGGCACCGGAGCCGGCGCGCAAGGTGCGTTGCCTAGTGGGGCATGGGGTCTTGGTTGAGCAAATGCCATGAAAGGGGAGGTTGTGGGGCGAGGTATGCGGGTATGGGGCCCCAGGAGCGTATAGGAGCATGCGAGCTAATTAGTGCCCTGTCCTCTTATGGTCCTGGGCCGATGTCATCGGGACTTGATTGGAACTGGTTTTACTGATGGCTGGGTCGGCAGGTTATCGGCAGGCCTTGCTGCAGCCGCAACCTAATCCGAAAGACTCTCACATGTTATGGCGTCGCCTTTTATCGTCCTCCCTGAATACATGCCTGATTTGTAGTTCCCGTAATGGCTGACTCTGCCTTTGGTGTACGACAGGAGGATACATATGAGCAGGACGATTACGGTGATGCCTTTGGGGACGACAAGGAGCCCGATGCCGCCGCCGCCCACGCGGAAGAGGCCGCTGACGCTGCTGAAGATGCTTCCATAGCTGCAGATGATGCCGCTGAGGCCGCTGAAGAGGCCGACGACGCTGCTGCTGCCGCACGGGAGGCAGCCAAGGCAGCCGAGGAGGCTGACAACGCCGAGGAGGCGGCAGAGGCGGCCGAGGCAGCGCAGGATGCAGCTGAAGATGCAGCGGACGCGGCGGAAGCGGCCCAAGATGCGGCAGAGGAGGCAGCGGAGGCGGCTGAAGAGGCGGCGGAGGCCGCTGAGGAGGCGGCTGAGGAGGCGGAGGAGGCGGCTGAGAAGGCGGAGGAAGCAGCGGAGGCTCTGGAGGACGCGCAGGAGGCTCTGGAGGCTGCTAAGGCAGCCTTGGCAGCAGCCAAGACGAAGCAAGAGGCCGAAGAGGCAGAGGAAGCCGCTGCCGCTGCTGCTGAAGCTGCTAAGCGGGCCGAGAGGGAGGCGGCTGAGGCGGCTGCAGCGGCAGAGGCTGCCGCCGAAGCTGCAGAGGAGGCAGCAGAGGAGGCCGAGGAAGCGGCAGAGGAAGCCAAGGAGGCGGTTGAGGACGCCGTGGAGGCGACCCTGGACGCGGCAGACGCCCAGAGGGCAGCTAAGAGGGCTGCGGAGGCTGCGAAAGATGCGGCGGAGGAAGAGGCAGAAGAGCAGCAGGCGGAGGATAACAACTATACGCCACCGGACGGAAATTCCGAGGCAGGTGACGAGGATGGTCTGCAGCAGCAGGACGAGCAGGAGGACCGGTCTCCGTTGCGTCTCCATCTGCGACCGAACAGTGCCGAGCGGGACTCTCTTCGCATGCGGGTTAGCGTTGATGCCGAGGAGTCAGCTGGCAAGAAGGGCGACGATGGCCGCCTGGGGCCCGTTGATGAAGATGAACCGGCGGCTGCGGAGGCGGCTGCGGATGACGCCGAGGCGGCTGCCGACGAGGCAGCATCCGAGGCTGCCTCTGCTGCGGAGGGTGCTGAGGACGCTGCTGAGGCGGCGGAGGCTGCAGACGAGGCTGGCGATGCGGCATCCGAGGCGGCGGACGAGGCTGATGAGGCCGCTGATGCTGCAAAGCGGGCAGCTAAGGCAGCTGAGGAGGCCGATGGGGCTTCAGAAGCTGCCGAAGCGGCGGAAGAAGCGGCAGAAGCAGCCGAGGACGCTCAGGATGCTGCAGAGGAAGCAGCAGACGCGGCAGAGGAAGCGGCAGAGGCCGCGGAGGAAGCAGCAGAGGCTGCGGAAGAGGCGGCCGAAGACGCCGAGGAGGCTGAGGAGGCGCTGGAGGAAGCCCAGAAGGCGTTGGCGGCTGCCAGGGCCGCGTTGGAGGCGGCTGACACCGCCGAGGAGGTGAAGGAGGCCCGGGAGGCGGCTCGCGACGCGGAAGAAGCTGTGGAGGTGAGTCATGACATGAGGGTTGGTTTATGATGTTTCGGCCATTGTCGCCTTGGAAGGTTAGGTGTCCCATACGCTTGAGGGCCAGCCGATCGGCTCGTGTTACAGCATACAGGGCCCTGTCCAAATCAACACGGAACTCGGGGGTGTTTGCCTTGCTTCGGCCATTATCTTGGCCCGGTTGGTGTAATCTATGCGATTTAAGAAACTGTCATCACTTTGTGGTTGTGGGGCCGTGGCGAAACCAGCGGCGAAGTCTGGGAACAGCTGATATCCTGAGGCTTAACTGCTCGGATGACGTACGTGAGGAAGATCTGCAACTGCCACCCCTGGCCACTCTACCCTGCCTCCTTCGCCTTTGACATTGCTGCAGGCTGCCGCTAAGGCTGCAGAGGAGGCAGCGGAGGCGGCTGAAGAAGCGAGGGAGGCGGCTGAGGAAGCACAGGAGGATGCGGAGGAGGCAAAGGAGGATGCGGAGGAGGCAAAGGAGGCAGCCGAGGAGGCACAGGAAGCGGCGGAGGCAGCTGCCGATGCGGCCGAGGAGGCAAAGGCTGAGGAGGAGGCAGAGAAGGCGATCCTCGAGGATGCGGGTGAGGTGGCAGAGGAAGCCGCAGATGACGCAAAGGAGGCGGCCGAGGAGGCGGCGGACCAGGCCGCCGAGGCGGCGGAGGGTGCTGAAGATGCTGCCTTGGCGGCGGAGGAAGCGGCAGAGGCTGGCGATGCGGCATCTGAGGCGGCGGACGAGGCTGATGAGGCCGCTGATGCTGCAAAGCGGGCAGCTAAGGCAGCTGAGGAGGCCGATGGGGCTTCAGAAGCTGCCGAAGCGGCGGAAGAAGCGGCAGAAGCAGCCGAGGACGCTCAGGATGCTGCAGAGGAAGCAGCAGACGCGGCAGAGGAAGCGGCAGAGGCCGCGGAGGAAGCAGCAGAGGCTGCGGAAGAGGCGGCCGAAGACGCCGAGGAGGCTGAGGAGGCGCTGGAGGAAGCCCAGAAGGCGTTGGCGGCTGCCAGGGCCGCGCTGGAGGCGGCTGACACCGCCGAGGAGGTGAAGGAGGCCCGGGAGGCGGCTCGCGACGCGGAAGAAGCTGTGGAGGTGCGTTACGGCGTAGAGAGGCTGTCGCTTTCGAGGGTGTATAAGCGGTTGTGGAAACGTCCTGGGCCTGGTTAGCAGGTCTGGGCTTCCCTGAATCGCTTGTCTTGTGTGCCAGTCTTGTGTGCCAGTCTTGTGTGCCAGTCGAGCAGTCCAGATGTTGTGCAGGGGGTTCTATACCCGTATATGCCTCCAACCTGGAACGTGGTTTGCTATGCAAGGCAAGGCAAGGCAATTTCTTTAATTTTTAACCAGCATAACAAAAGAAAACATTTCTTCAAGTTTATCGTACACCTGGCGGATCTTGCCCTGGCGCTTTTGCAGGCCGCCGCTAAGGCTGCAGAGGAGGCAGCGGAGGCGGCTGAGGAGGCGAAGGAGGCGGCTGAGGAAGCAGCCGAGGAGGCAAAGGAGGCAGCTGAAGATGCGGCGGAGGCGGTGGAGGACGCTACTGAAGCGGTTGAGGCGGCGCGGGATGCGAAGGAGGCGGCGGCTGAGGCCGCTGCCGAAGAGGCTGCAGAAGAGCCGCCGAGATCTCCGGTGCGCGTACACGTGCGACCGGACAGTGCGCAGCGTAATTCGGTGCGCATGCGGATCAGTATGGACGCAGAAAGAGCGGGGTCTGCTGGTGTAGACGCCGCTGACAGAGAGGGGTACGGCTTGGGGGCCGTTGACGAGGAGATGGAGGCACCGGCGCCGGGGTCCCAAGAAGGCTCCCCCAAGTCGGCTGTGCGGGTTCATATGCGGCCCGATAGTGCCCAACGTGACAGCTACAAGATTCGGTTGAGTACGGACCAAGAGAGGGCGGCCGGGGGCGCAGCGGAGGCGGAAGCGGTGGATGAGGATGAAGCGTCGCTGCAGGCTGAGATGCGGGCCTTGGAAGAGGCCGAGATGGCGGCGCAGATGGCTGCAGAGCTGGCTAAGGATGCCGCGAACGACGACGACTTCTACTGACAGCGTCGTCCAAAAGGCACAGCATTGTCGGGCGGACAATTGAGCTGCGGAAATAGGGTATAAGGAATTTGGACTGTGGGTGGAGCAAGCGGAGGTCGCCGCGAAGGAGTGATGGGCAGAGTCCTCCGAATGCGGACCAACAATTGCAGGCTTGGACGCTTGGGCGTGTGCGCGTGCGCACGCCTCGAAACCTCACCACTGCTTCCGTGAATGGTGATGGTGATGCGCGATGTGGAATGGGAATCTGACATGTCGTGAGAAATCCTGTATCCTATTGATTGGGCCCCGGGGGCCTCTTCTAGGTTGACATGCATTGCTTGGCCCAGAGCTCAGCGCACGCAGCATTCTTTTTTGCGCGTCGCTGGCATCGTCAGCGCCGCTGCAACTCCAAGCTAACTATTATGGTCGTTGATGGAGCTTGCAGTGTCTGCCCTGCAAGAGGGGCACACTTCATTATTGCAGCATGCAAATTGATGCTGTCTTGATGCGGTGGGGCCCCTTATGAAGCGCGCGCGGGGTGGGCACCCGTTCTGGTAGTGTACGGCATTGGTCCACTATTTATCTCAGCGGAAGGATTCTTGATGCATGTGCCAGTATCTGCACGGCTTGGGTCATTTTAGGCACTTGGTTCAGCCGGGTACTAGCGCAGTGTTGGGCACCGCCTATGACGTTGATGCAGAGAACCTCGTGCGTTAGGTTGCGCTGCCCCCTCATGGCCTCTGGCCCAAGGATGGTCGACCTCTACTGTGGGCGGGCTAGCTGACTGACGAGCGACGCCGGCCGGCTTGTCCTCAGCTGCATAGGGCTGCACACCAGCAGCAAGGCGCATGACTCGTGAGCATATGCATGTGCGCTGCAACGTTCCGAGGCATTACTTTAGGGTTTCCATGGGCGCTTTGCGTTTTGTGTTGGGCAGCTATGCAGGTTTGGTGAGCCCGATATGGTTCGCCGCTGTTGCAGTAGCCTGTTCTGTTGCAGAGGGACAAACTTTGGCAAGAGGATGTGGGAAGTCGTGAATGACTGCTACAATCGCCCCGGCAGCAGGGGGGTGGCGGCGCATGCTCCCGATGCGTGATGAGGAACGGGCCGCTTTCCAGACCCGCGTGCATTTGTCTTATGTTCCCTGCCGAATGTATGGCGGGTGTGGCCTAGTCAGTCGTCCACTCGTGAACAAGGTGCTGCCAACCCGAAATGTGACAATAACTCTGCACAGAGGAATTTTTAGTAAAAGTGCAAGAGCACGTGATGTTTATATAGCCGGTAGTTAAAAAAGCAGCTTTGATGGTAGCGCTCATATTATTGCAGTTTGCTTTACGTAAGACGCAGGTGCGCTTGATTTTTGAGGCCTGTGGATATTATTTGGCGGGAAGAAGCCGTGGCTGGCACGTACACGCAACCCTGCATTCGCACGGGCGTCGTTCTCGGTCTGATGCGCGGACCGGCATTCTTGTGTGATGAGCCTGCGGTCTCTTATTCGGCAGATCGTGGAAATGTTCTTGCCACCTGCTAGGTGTCTAGACGCGTGGCGCAGGACTTAGTAACATTCCTTTGCGGTCCATCAGCTCCTATCACTGTACGACATCGTGCAAGTCGTGCGGTAGTACTATGTGAAGCAGAGCGGCGGTACATGCTCCTTCTTGTGCCTCATTGCTGGTCCCGTCGATCATACGTCTTGCGCACTCTTTAGTGTTGTACAATACACGGTATATTGTCATTCTTAGCTTTCTTGGGACAGAGTGAAGTTCAATCGACGAGATATGTTTTGGCCCGCAGACATGACTGCAATTGACCTCGCGACTTCATGTCGTCTAATTTGTCGTGCAAAGGTGCTGCTGCCCACACTGGCCCTGATGCATATGTCGTTGCTCAGCATGCTCTCAAATCATCAACGTCATCCGCAAACAAAAAGGTGTGAGAGATTGACCAACTCAACATTACCATCCCGCATGCATTTGACAGTGCAGCAACAGTTAAGGCAGGTTTAGCAGCCGCGGGTTATTGCTTGTTCAACAGCTGAAATCTTGCTTCCTGGCTTTCGCAGCCATACCTGTGGCGTAATCAGTCAGGTATAGAGAAAAACCCTGACTGCGTGGGCCACGTGTTCATCCAACCGGTCGTTCGTTCCTAGCAAGCTCTAGGATGTCGTCTATGGGTATCAGCAACGCTGTGATGCCAATGAATTTCCGAAGGCAGGGGGGGAGGGAAGGTTAGGCATCCTCCGCTCGCAGTACGATAACAGCACGGTAGCAGCGTGACCATGTGCAGCGAATACGACACGTAGTACGGCATTACATTACCCTAAGTCAATGAATAAATCATATGTAACCCGGCCGCGTCGTGTGGCTTCCTTGGCCGCGCCTCGGGACAACTCCCGTCGTCGTTCACATAGTGCTCAGCTCGTTCAACAACTCTTGCATGCTACCAATACCGGTATTGGCAAAGGTTCTGACGCCGTAAGGCCAGCGCGCGAGGAGGGCCTTGTGGTCCGCAAACCCAGGGCGATGCTGCTTTACGACCTTCGTGGGGTTGCACCGTACTGTGCCGTACTGGACACAACCCGAACAGACATATATCCCTCGACACCACCCATCTACGGACATATCATTCTTAACACTGAATCACTGAAATGAAGAATGATGAAGAACTAAGCGAAGATAGCTACAGGAAAAACAATTGCTGCGCTTGCCGCCGTGACTCATATGCTGCTGCTGCACAGCTCGCCAACATACACACATACATACGTACCTACACGCACACCCAGAAGTTGCCTGATTTGGAGAGGAGCACACGGACATGACCTTTATGCAGGAACGTAACCGGCTAAATAGTCCACGCTCTTGCACCCACGACCCAGGCCCTGCCCGAATGCATATTCCGCTCCGGCATCTTCCGCTACCGTACTAACAGACAACTAACAAACTGGAAAAAAAACTACAACACCCCATCCATTCAATCCCTACCACACACCGGGGAGCCAATGCCCGCCAACCGCGACAGCAAACTTATAACAACACATGCTAGGACTCACTGTAATACCCACTGCTACATGCCGCCAGCCGAAACCTTGCCGCCCACCTGCCGCCCTGTGACATGTGCCGACCCCCGTACTGACCGCTACTGCGCAGGCTACTACAGCGCTCGCCTAACTGCATTGACGCAACCCTGCAGGAATGGAAACTTGCGACAGAGACACGTACATACAGACAAACTCCTGGAGGCCGCCCACTTACGTAAGAGCACGGGCCAGCACACCACCGCAAGAGCTTCCCCAGGTTCCTCTAAATACAAGAAATGAATACAGACGCCGGCTGAGCCATCCCACACAGAGCCCACACGCAGGGTGCCTTTGACCTCGGACTAGAATTGAGGATGATACGCGTATCATGTCGCTGGTGGGTGGGTCACCTTGGCTGGTGGGTGGGTCACCTTTTGCCATCAGGGGCTCAAAGGCAGTGCAGCTCAGCAACCACACACAGACACTGCCGTCACCACAGCCACCGCCCTAACTAAACACTCCCGACTTTTCAAGGGGACAGCTCGGAACCAGCGACCCAGCCTTCCTCTCGCTCTCGAGGCGGAACGTCCACTGGTTTTCGACACTCCACCCCACGATGCCCTTCGACCCCACCACGCGCTGTGGCTACTTTCCACGTCATGAATGCATCCTTCTTCCCGCACAAAGCCTATGGTTATGGCAAAACTGATAACCAAAACTACTGTTCCTAGGTAGGAGGCTCTAAACCCCCCTAACTCAGCGAACCGTTTCTACTTGCTCGCCCGGTTTCAGCCCCTTTCTCCCGGGGGCTTGCAAGTGTGTGTATCGCTGTGCTTTCTGCCTCGCCACCCGACGCCTTTGCCACCCTTCCATTGCCGGCCTCCGTTTACCACACCATCCACCCTCCCGCCTTCCTCACCATACAGCTCATCTCTCTCTCTCTCTCTCTCACCCAGTCCGAGTTTGTTTCTTTTTCCCTAAACCCTTCGTGCGCTATTGGTCTGAGCCGACCTGGCTCTCAGGACGCCCACAATCTGGAAGGCCTGCTCCAGGGTGGGCGCCACGGGATTGCAGCGGGCCAGTCGCACCTGCAAATTTTGGAAAAGGAAAAGGAAACAACATAGGAATGATCAGTTAATAAGAATGATCAGTTGACCGCCAATTTACCCTAAAATTACCACCGGGGATAGGCTTATGGGTTAATAGCGCGCAACCCCTCCGTCAGAGCTTGGGGGGATTCCATCCAGTGCATTTCCTGTACATGCTTCCCCCTTAGGTTTGGTTTGGGGCCAGTTTAAGTCTTTTTCATGGCTTACTTCCGCAGTGCATGAAACCCTTCCTGGGGAAGGTACAAACCACCGGCTAGTCCCAGACGGGAGGAGGATATGCCTTGGGGGTCGTGGCTGTGGGTGTATCCACCCCCCACACACACAACCCCCCCCCACACACAAACCGCCAGCTGGAGGTCGCTAAGGTTGTCGCTCTCGTCAGGCAATTACGATGGAAAAATGAAGGTAACGGAGACGTGGTGGTGATGTGTAGAGAGTGAGAGGAGGAGGTTGAGGGGAGAAAGAAAACCGTCGACCCACAGGCCAGCACATGAACACATACATGACCCAACTTCAAGGGTAGTTGGTAGTACGACGATTCTAAACGATAAAAGCGATAAAAACCTATATCCGGCAATCCATGCAATAGCCTGTGCGATCCAGAAGGGATAATCGGCAGAATAATAAAGACCCGGATTGCCCTCCTCCCTAGTTTTATCTTCCCTTCCCTTCCCTTCGCTTTCCTGCCCTCAGCGACTCGAGAACAAAAAAAAACGCTTCGCCGCACCCCACCACAGAACAGTACCCCAAATCGTTACTTATCCCGTCGCGGTCAGGGTTCCTCCATCCTGTTTTATCCGCCCCCCCAGGCGCGCGAACTCCGCCCCACCCCACCCCACCCCACCCGCAAACCCCGCACACACCTCAGCTCCTTCCTTCACTACGCTAGTAGTCATGCAAAGCTCATTGCTAACCAGGGAGCTGTAGCCGGTGCCGTACGGCTTGTCACCACCACCGAGATCTGCCGACAGCGCGCCGGCGTCCACCTCTCCCGCCAGCGGGGAAACGTCTGGCTGGGGCCGGTCCGGACCAAGAGTGGCGAGTGCGTAGCCGTTCCGCCGTACGGCCGCCGGCAGGTGGGATATGGAGGCCGTATCTGGGGGAAAAGGGTTGGGAGGGGAGAAGCCTTGACGGTATGTTTTTACGTGCGCGTGTTGTGTCGTGTCCTGTCGCGTGCAAATGGGAGGTTTCCCAGATGGGAGGGATGGGAGAGATCAAACAGACTGACAGACATGCGAATGACCTGAACATGCCTGCATTCACCCGCCCGCATTCACCGACCATCTCGCCGGCTCCACGTCATGGGCACCCCCTCCCGGTGCCCCTTGATTCCCATACCCACACCAGTACAACCCAACCTTTCCATCTCCCGCGCCTGGAGGTCCTTCAACCCCCCAATACCCTCTCGCCTCACGCGGGCCCCCCCATATCACATCGCCTACCTCGCACGTCCAAGAAGATGAAAGTCTGATACCGCAGCTGTAACTCAGAGGCGGTTGTGTCGGTTGGCGTGGCTGAGTCTATTGTGGGGTTCTTCATGCAGGGGCCCCAGGAGGAGGGGAAGGGGCCCCAACCCGATGCATCTAGCATGGTAACGGGCAGCGGATTCGGGGACTTGAAGGTGCTGTTTGACACCAATGTAGCTGGGTCGTATCCATACCGCACGTACGACGCATAGTTGAAGTTGTAATCGTCGTACCAGTCCATCTCATTGTCATTTTCGTCGTACTGGCTGCTGGCATTGGTTTTGTTGGCGTGCTCCTCGTAATACAGCGTGCCCGTAACGCCAAACACTGGATGGCCATCAGTGTACGTGCTGTTCACGCCGTACGCGCATTGGCTCAAATCGGATGGGTTTTTCAAAAAGCCAATGCGGTAGTTGGTGTCGCTATTATGGTACGAGCGACCCAGGGCGGCTTCCGCGACGAAGGTCTCCGTGCGGGCGCCGGAACAGTTCATCAGTACGAGACGGTTAATGCCGTAATCTTCAAGTTGCGCTTGGTCCGATTGCGGAAGGCCGCTCCGGAACCTAGCGCGCACGACAGCAGTACTAGTCATTTGGACGCGGTTGACGCAGAGCGAGTTGTCTATCATGGGGCGAATTGTGAAGCGCGTGGGCAAGCCCCTCACGGTCGCGATATCGCCCATGGTCACTGGGGGGAAGAGGGGGTGCCAGGCGGGGAGGGTGCTGGGCAGGTCGGGAATGTACGAGGTACGGCAGATGACGACAATGCGGATTAAGGTGGAGTGTGCTGTGACGCGGTATGATGTGTGGCCCCTACAGAGATATGGTGGTAAGCAACCGTGAGCTGGAAACGGCCTACACACACCTATACACACACACGCACACACACGTACAAGAAGGTTAAGAGGGTCCCGGATCGGGCCACGGCGTGACGGGTTCGGCTTAGAGCAGGCAGGTGGGTTTCCTGCCCTTCTGGTGGAGCACGAGGGCGGGTAAGTAAGGAAGACGGAAGGGGTTCGGACAACCCGGAGAGCTTGAGCAGACGCGGAAGACAGAGCCTCTGTCGGTGCTAACGGAATGGACTGGATGTAGCGGGGTGGGACGCGGTCATAAGCAGCCCAGACGCAGAGCGGAGCAAACCCGCATTTGGGGCCCCGCCGGTACAAAAGAGACGTACGGTAGCATTACCAAATTGCGACGGCAGGGCTTACACAAAGGACCGTAAATACCTTATGCGTATAGGCATTTTGAAAGTGCATTCGCGCATTGTTCCAGCTTCAAGCAGGGTTAAAGTTAAGCATGCCCACCTGCACCCAAGAGGGTTTGTTATGAGGCAGGTGCTCTAAGCCATGCTTATGCCATGCTGTTGCCATTATGCGCTTGAAATGCCACTAGTTTCAAAAAGCAACTTGCGCTCGACTACTTTGAAAGCGAGGGGGTGAGGCGAAAAGTTATCTGAAGCCGTGGCTGCCTTATAAGAGAATATTGTGCAAAAGCCATTGGTGATAATCAGAGGACACAGGAAAGAGTTGAGCGCTGTTACGCCGACGCGGCGTACCTGTATCATCCTGCATGCGGCGTTCACGAGCCAGCATTCCATTCATTCGGTAGCCCTGCCCAGGTCAAAAACTCAAGTTAACATGTGAGGCTGCGCAATCTGATATCTGGCTCAGGTATACAGACCTGTTCCAGTGACAAATCAGCCCAAGCCGTCCCGTCGGTAGCGCAGAATGCCCTTATAGAACATGATAGAAATAAGCACACTGCCCAAAAAGGAGAAGCTCTTCGACGATACATATTTGGGGGCCTGGAGGACTGATGAGACAGGGTTGGCACCAAGGAAGCAGTTAGACTTATGATAGAAGGTAAGTACAGTTAGGATGAAAGACCACCAAGGCCATCTAGTAAGTCCTCGTGGCAGGTCCGACAAGGTAATCGGGACGTAAGGAGCACGATAGCTTCCCGCCCGCCATTAACGAAAACGGACTGAGGCGAGCTCTGGCTTGAGAATGACAATTAGGCATATTCAGAATAGATACGATAAAAGCTTCAATACGATAACCCCACAGGTTCAGTTACATGTAGCTTCGCGTTCAACACCACAATTTCAACGGCAAATATTGCAGGAATACCCTTACCAATTGCACCAAACGCTTCTAAATAACGAACGCCAAATTCAACGCCAGAATTATGATGTCCGCGCAACAGATCTTTCACGACCCGCGGTTCCCGTTCGCGATGGTATGACCCGTACCTCCCCAAACACGTACCAGGCTCCAAACCGCAACGTAGAATGGTAGGTTGGGAAATCTACTACAAGATGTTCACTAATGAGATAGGAAAACACATGTGATTCACATGCTGTCCAGTTTTCTGCGCGCAAAGGCAACGCCCCGCAGCTTCGCCGAGAGAGGTCTTGCCTGACCCGCTCCTCGCACACGAACTCCATACCGAGTATAACAGCCGAGTACAACATGATACAAAGTTTAATCTGTGAAAGGGTCCCCAGCTGCCGGGTGTCAGCTCATCTTGGCCCAGTGGCTTTGTAAGGCTAGATTTGTGTCGCAGGACCGGGTCAATTAAGTTTCGATGTGGTCCGCATAAACTACAGTTTGTTCGTTCGTCACTCATTTGTTTGACGCGATAAGTTATTAACTGCTCCCAGATCAGACGGCTGCGTGCTCTGGCAGGTTGACAAACGATACGAAGCCGTCGCAATGGTGAAGCTTGTGTCGAAGGACGGCGAGCATAGCGACCCATGGGTCTTAGCCTTGGGCAAATTTTCATCATAGCAAATGATGGATGAACATGTCATCCAGGCAACGATAACTCTTGGGACGCACTTCGGGCAATCAATTGCCCCAAGTTACTCGTTCGTTTGCCGTTTTGATTGGATTTGCTGCGTGTACGCAACGCCAAATTCCCTTATCGAGGAGGCTAGGGCTAAGGATTGCGTGCTTTTATAAATTATCAAGATGGAAGCTTAGGAATGGTGCCCCTTTACTTCACGGGACACCGTCCGTCCTTTGAATTGGTCCATCGTCTTTTCTAAACCTCTCTTTTAACCCCCTTGCAGGTGAAATAGGAACCTTCCAGTCTGAAGTTTTTTCCATAATCTCTTCGTGATATGAATATGTATGGTGAGGTGCTTTAACTTTAGTTGGAAAAGGAACAATGCTCCTCACAAGTCGGAAAGGCCTCGTCGGCAAGCCAGCCAACTGCGATGGTGCACCTAAAGGAATGAAATTTGTAAATGCCACGACTGCAAGCCTCAGGTCATCTAGTCTTACGGAGTGCAACACTGTCGGCAGCCCTCTCGGAGCGCGCAAGCGCTCTGCAGCTGCGCAAGTGCGTGCCGTTTGCAGCAACAAAAGCAGTTCCGCTTCCAAAGCTGAGCAATACCCGCGAAAGGCCAAATCTATCAACGGCCTTGGTCTTCTCGCGTCGCACGAGGTCAGCAATTGCCCGACGGCTTGCACACTTGCTTCCTTAGTGGTTGCTCGCATGGCTACATCCAAATTAACAGGACCATATATTTCAAATGATGTCCTCGTCACAATAGGGGTTGGCTGACTGGGACGGCTAGTCCGCCGTTGCTGACATCCCGCGCGGCAACTCGCGCAAAAGTGTCCTTTTTTCCCCCGCTATCCCAGGTATCCTTAAGCGACGTCAGCGACACAGATGACAACGTTCATGGGCTTGGCGAGGGGCTCGGCTCCGTATCCAGCGTGGATCCGAAAGAGCTGACCAGGCAGCAGCGGCGGCAACAGCCGCAATATGGCGCCGGTAAGGACGGAGCTTGGGATACGAAACCCCCTGCCGCCGAAATCCGCCGAAGCACCAAGGGCCCCGCAGCCGCCCTGACCAGCCGCGTTGTGGCGACGGTGCGGCGCCGAATGAAGCACGGCCTCCAGCGGACTGTGGCAGTAGCGGCACCCCCGCCGCGTCCAGCGGCCGTGGCGGCAACGGTAACAGAGCTCGGCGTCGTGGCACACAGCCCTTTCCCTGCTGCTGCACATCAACCAACCAACGAGAGCTCTAGACAGCCCTACCGCCACGCTACCAACCGCTGGGATCTTCGTCGTACAACAGCAATAGCGGCCGTCGCAATCCTGCTGGCGGCGGCAGCGGCGGCGTCAGGCTTGCTCTTGGCGCCGCGACGGACCGGCCGCGGTGCCGCCGGCGGCGAGACTGCTGCAGGGAGGTCCGCCGCCGCCGCTGGCGGCGGCTTCGGCGCCGCTTCCGCCTCCGGCGCCGTCACAAGCTGGAGCGCCACCAGCGCTCTGCCGTACATGGCCGGATGGGCTCGGCTGCTTGGCGGCATGGCGGGCCCCGCACCCGTAATCGCCGCCCGCCTGTCCCAACGATCATCAAGCCGGCATGTTGTTACGGCCAGCTTTGCACCTCAGGACCGAGCCCACAACGTCCATCGCGGCAGCAGCATTCTAAGCCCAGGAGGCAGCAGCAGCAGCAGCAGCCGTGGCGGGAGCATGCTGCTTCGAAGATGGTGGTGGTGGTGGTGGTACGGAACTACCGCTGCAGGAACGGGAGCCGCACCGCACCGCGACAGCAGTAGCCGCCGCCGCAGCAGCAGCAGCAGCAGTACCTTGGCGGTCGCAAAAGGGGAGGGCACTGGCGGCGAGCCTCCCACCTCCACGGGCGGGGACACCGGCGCCACCGGGCAGCCTCCACAGCCTCAGGACTACGAATGGCGGGAGGCCGCGACTGTAAGAGTGATCACGGTCGTACCCGGTACGACATTGGACGTGGGCTGGGGCTGTGTACTTTGTCCGCAGCTTCGTTAGTGTTTTTGGCCCCCTTGTCAGTCAAAGCTGAGTGAGGTGAGTGGGACGCCAGTAGGGTAGGGTAGGGTAGGGTAGGTGGCTCCGGTTCCCTCTTCTCTTTTCCTGTGCATTTTTTCCACTGCACCTGCACCAGCTTAGCCCCCGCCCCGGCCCCATCCTCACCCTCATCCTCACCCTCTCCGTCCCCCGCCAAACCTCTAGATGGCGGCTCCAGCCCCTACCGGACCAGCTGGGGCGCCCTGGCGGATCACACGGCCGCGAGGTTCGAGTGGACCGACCCGTCGTACCAGATGATGGTGTTCAGGGCGCAGCAGCTGGGGATGGACGCGGGTGCGGCTGGGGGGGTGGGGGCCGGGGGAGGGGTGGGCGAGGGAGTGGGAGAAAGAGAGACACAGAGTCGTCTGAGAGGCCGTGTGGGGCAGCCGGGGGATGTCAGCCGGTGGGTCGCTAACCAGCTTGTGGATGTGCTGTAGTCTTGTGACGTGGAAATCGACACACATGTACACACAGCCCCGTTCTGTTTAAGGACTCACGCGCAGATTCGTGTGCCATACACGCCTGTCTGGCCCTGCGATGGCGGCGGCCCGCCGCCGCGACGGGACGTGCCGGCGCCGCTATGCCGTACGTACACAGGCATCCAGCGGGCGTTCCTGGGGGCCCTCCAGGGCGGCGCCCAGATGGTGGTTGGTCTGGCGGTCGCGGATGGGGCCGCGGAGGCGTTTCTCCAGGTGGGGGGTGGCCCCCGGGT